ATCACAAAGCACCTCACCACCATATGCCGGACATAGCTATTTCTGCCAGCAGATTAGCAGTGCTTTGCACATACAGTGTGCTGATTTAGAGGATGACAGAGGTGCATTAGTTCCTATGTCTTCCTCATTTGAAAACGAATTAACTTGGATTATTTATATTCTTTAAATGAACGAGATGCATCGTCACTATGTGTCAGCCAGGAAGAAGAATTCTTGGGATGAAAAATTAAATTTAAATTTCAAACTACTAACTAAGCAAAGCAAGTTTTGAATAGAGAGGACAGATCTCAGCATCTTTGTCCATGAAAGGAAAGTTATATTACACGCAGTATGTCTGATCTGCTGCCTGCAACCTTCGCAACCTTTATCCCTGTGCAAAAAGGGAAAACAATGTTCCACATTCGCTCTGGGTTCAGGGTTGAAAGAGGTAAGTGACAATACAGCAGCAACTCATTAAAGAACCAGATATACAAGTTTATCATAATCTGTCTTCACTGACACTAGGAATTAAATAGAGGCCTTCAAGTAATTTGAAATAGCTTCATTGTAAAATGCTAGAGGAAATGCAGCAGAGCTCCCATGCATAAAACTAAATTAATGATTCATAAGGTTGCATAATTAACCTAATGCAAGTCAAAAAAATATGTAGTTAAGGACGCAGAGCCAGCCTTCCCTTGACCTCTCATTTCACATGTGATTGCAATTAGATAAGCATGCACTATTTCACAGACTATGCTGTCCAACAGGAGGTAAGGTGTTTTTTTTTTTTTTTTGTATAATCTTGAAACAGGTCTAGGTAACCTATCTATTTCATTCAAGAACAGCAAGTGCATACAGAGAGTCTCACTTGTTAAGACTTCAAAGCAATGCTGCTTGCAGAACCACGGTCACATCACTGCACCATCTGCAACATCATATGGAGAAAAAAACATTATATTTTATTTCACATCCCCTGAGCCTTTTGATCCAGAAGGACTGTCAGAGTGAGTATAAGTACTGACAATGTATCTCAAAGTCTTGTTCTAAAACCTGCCCTTCACTAAGTCTGCAAAAACCCATCTCTGATTCTCTCTCTGCTCTTTAGGAGCAGGGACAGCAGGCCCTAGACGCTTTAGTCAGTCACAAATTCCACAAAACGCACAGAAACTTTTCTTCAGGTTGTAAGCACTTTACAAGGTTTTCTGTTCCTTTCCCAGCCCCATATGTCCCTTCTGTTTCAAAGCAGTACATTTCATTATTTTTTACTGTACAGCTACTCAGGTGTTCATTCACAGCAAATCCTCTTGACTGTACCCTTTACAAGCTTTGCAGGAAAAAACCCAAAAAACTAAATCTTGAACTGCATGCTCAGTATGTAATTTTCTAAGGCTCATAACTCAGTCCAGTCAAAGCCAAAACTCTAAGACACTTCACAGTTAGGGCTATTTCAATGCCAAATTTTCAGGCCTCCGCCAGTCACGCTGCAGAGCTGCTCAAAAGAAGGCAGCAAGAAGTCTTACGGAGGGGGAAAATAGTTTTCCACTCTCCTCACACTCACACATGGATGAAATGTTTTTGCTCAAACTTTCCAAAAAATTCACCTCTGAGCAGAGTCCAAGGGCCTCTTTTGAACAATTTTACAACTTTCTGCAAAGAATAAACACTTTAATCATACAAAAAGGCATTGCTTAATTACAAATTTGACTGTGGGTAATTCTCCTGACGTCAATTCCATTTCTCCCAATTGACACCCTTGTGAGACGAGAACTAACCCCAGTGCCTACAAAGAACTCTAATAGAGATCATTAGTCACTCCTCCAACAAAAAGTTTTGGAAGACTGAAAACAGGAAGCCAGTACATCCAGAAAACATTATATACCTGTAAATACAGTGACCAAAATAACAGCATCATAAAAGAGCCGACCAAATTTCCAACCTTATAAACTTCATACCAAAATCTTCAGTTGCTGAAGTGTCATAAGTTATGTGAGGAAAGGGGAAAAGCAAGAGGTCAAGACGTGTTTGAGGTTGAGAAGGGCAGTGGCTCCACGTTAGTCCTCCCTGGCCACAGCAGAAATGGGCTGGCCTTGGCATACAGCTGAGCTCCAGAACAACCTGGTGACTTCAGAAAAAAAGGGAGATTTGGATTATGCAACGGTCCCTGCATCAGCGCAGCCACGTCCTGGTCAGCCAATAGTTTAGGCATAGGAATTACACGTGAACTGTATATGAGCTGCATGAGTTGACTATCCTTTCACAGTAACACTTTTTTATATTCTTTTTATATATATGATTTGATCATTTCATGAAATGATCATAAAATATAAGATTTTTTAAATACACACACAGACACACACATATAGCATAAATATATTGTCACACGGTAAGACGTTTCACTCAGTAATTTCTTTGCAAAGAAGACAGTACAAAGCAAGTAGAAGAGGTCACGGGTTTCGTCCTGAAGATGCCATAAGCAAAGAATTTTGAAACTGCACAATGCTCAAAACCACAAGGCTGTCTTGGGGGATAGGAGCAGTAATAACGAACGGGAAGTTGCCTATGCTGTTGAGAGTGCTCTGTTTGTAAGCAACAGGACCACATTCCTTTATCTTATTATTGGTTCAAATAGGAATAGGCAAATGTGTATATAAAGGAGAAGACAGGGAGAGGGAGTTGACCGATTTCTTTCCTTCATTTTTCAGGGAAAGGACTGGTTCTCTGATTTTACACACACACACACACACACACACACACACACACTTCCATTATCATTATCGTAAATACTGAGTTTTCTGCCTCCACTCTGAGAAAGTGTCACAAATCAAGTACAACAAATATGGGCAAAAATCTTAGCAAAACTGTGATACAAATGAGTCATTTTGCTTGCATTGGCTGAATTAAGAAAAAAGAACCTTTCCGGATTTATGAATTGAACAGATCTCTCACGCAAGTGTCACTCAGAAGATAACATTCTCTGGGTCTTGGTTCTTTTTTCGCATCTAAGTAAGGTCTAATAATTCAATTGGTCAAGGCACAAACAAATACCAGGTTGATTTTGCAAAATTCTTATTTTCCTTAACTGCTCTCTCATCACCATAAATGGGCTGATTCTCCATAAGAAGCTTCTTTCTTTCAATACATGTTCAAATTTGTTATTCACCACTATAGGCTACTTGGTACTCAATCCTCCTCCCCAGTCCCAAATTATGTGCCACGCTTCATGCTGTTTTCTAACACGCTTCAGTTTCCAGAAGCGGAAATTTAACTATTTGATTAAATGGTGTCTCAGAAGTCCCCATTTACAATCATAACTTTGTTCTCCTTGCCTTCTATTTCTGTTCCATTTTGCTTTGGTTAGAGATATACTGCACGTATGCCTTTTATGGCCTTGTTGGAGTATACTTAAACAGTATAAACCTGTGCTGACTATGAGGATTTCCAACTCTTTAATTTTTAATCTCGGGTCTTTTTCACTTTTCCCCTTAAAAAGAAATATTTCCTCCTCTGAAAGTCAGCATCACTGCAGTATCCTTTAATCCAAACAGTCTCCAGAGGACACTGGACTTTATTATTATATTTTAACATCTACATTTAGGATACTGGAAGTATTTCTGCTCTGTCTGGGGCCACCCACTCCTCCAAAAAGAGCTTTGCCAGCTCGCTCTGCATTTATATCTAATGAGTTCAAAGCACAAGGACTTTGTCCCTCCCACCCACTCAGTTATAATCAGATGGCATGTCTTAAGTTTGACTCATTCATGTCATACAAACATAGTTTCCAGAAAGAATAAATGAAGAGTTTCACTTTAAATTCTCTTCCTACAGCAATTACTGTCCTAGCAATCATGTTTTAAAAGGCATTAGATATGCTAGAGATCACAGTCTAAACCTCCAAAAGCAACCCCTCACCTTAGGCCTAAAACATGATGAAAATCAGCATAAAACAATCTTGTGAATTGTGAACCCCAAAGCAAAGCTCAGCATTTCTGAAAGTTATACACAAACACAACACTCATCCTCTAAGAGGTCATTAAAACAATAGGGATAAATTAATCATAAACCTTTGTATTACTATCATAGTTAATTTATCTTATTTCAATTGAAATATTAAATATTTAATTATTAAATATTAATATGATCCCTGACATTAAACTTTAAAAACTTTATTGCGGGACATATTTTAAAATACTCAGATTCCCAGATACCACTTTAAGAAGCCTACTGAATAATAGGCACATAAGAGAGGTCTTCTGCATGTCGAAGACTACTGAACACCCTGAACAGATTTCAGGTCTCAGCCAGATCCAAAACAAATTCTTGCAGGCTTTCACTTAAGATGGGCACTCTGCAACTCTGTCGTCTCAGATCACAACAGGATTAATCCAAGGCAGCAAAGGATTCCCACTAGCATAACAGAAAGCAAAATATAGTCTTTCATTCAACTCAAAGTGCAGATAGGAAAACGAATCTCATTTTCCAGCTGGCCTGGGCTACTAAACCTAACTTCTTCCCAGTGGTCAAACAATGGTAAGCCAGAGTTGTCATCTTTTTTCTTCTCCTCACTGGATTAGAAAGGAAATATTTGCAGTGAAGTAAGAATGCAGCTTATCTGTGGGTCCCTTCTTCTCTTTTATGCTACATTCAGTCCACCTGATTTCACCAAATCCTATAGGGATTTTATTATCCTCTTATAGTCCTGCTGCAGAGTCAAGTAAGCACCATTAAATTAGACTCCTACTCCATACAGTTTTCTTTTCAGCACCCTTTAGATTTTCAGGGAGGGGCAAAGAACAAGAATTATAAGTAAATATGTAACAATTAACTTCTGAAATATGCATACTGCTCCCTCTGCAACCAGGTAATGTTTTCTCATCATACATACCACTTTTGAACAATTCATCTAGGTAGGTATCAACTACCACGGTCCTCAACACAGAAGTCTCTGAACAAGAAAGCAAATCTTTAGTGCAGCACAATAAAATCCAGATTTTGGAGGGCTGGGGTTTGTTTTGTTCTTTTACCTCCTCCATCTCTAAAACATTGCATAGTCAGGTGCTACAGCCCATACACCAATGACTCGCCCTCAGCAGGCCGTGTAGACACTTCAGCCCCAGATGTTGCTCAAATGGTTGCTGTTACGCTGTCTTCTATTAACGCTGTGAAGAACCAGGTCCTTGAAGGAAGAATTCTGTGCCTATTTGAAAAGAATAATGGAAAGGCAGTTTTGAAATGCAGCTAGTAATACGCTTGCTTTAATGTTCATTACGTTTCTCCCTTGTATTATTATATACATAAGGAGGATGCTCAGTCACGTTATTAGATGCAATACCTGTCACTCAGAATGAACGGCATCGCTACATACACCCAAATCTCTGCTTTCTCTACATTAAAGAGTAAGCACTGCCATTGCAGCAGCCTAATCCAGCCACCTATATGGCACATGTACTTCCCCCTCTTGATCATGCTATACACGTAAAATGCAGCGCTAAGACTTCCTTGATCAGGCTGTATCTAGATTAAGCAAATGGGTACTAAAGATGTTCCTGAAAGTGATGACATCTTTTGCTAGGGGATACAAAAATGCTTTTACCAGCTAGTCTCAGCCCCAACCTTTTCCCTTTTATGCCGTTACAACTCTTGTCCTCTACCTATTGCAAATTCTGAAGCCCATTTCCAAAGCCCATATTCCTCTCTTTCAGATCATTCAAAATGCATTTCTAAGACTTTCTTTCCCACTGTTTCGGACATTTCATTTCTCGGAATCCCTCTGGCAGCTCCCACTTTCTGCTGCACTAAACGCAGTTATTTAATATTCACTTTTAAGATCCCTCAGAAACTCAGAGCTGTCTTTCTGACACTCCCTCTTTGTCCCTCACCTCCACGGATGATTATTCTCAAAGATTAATGCCTGCCACAAACTCCCAAGGGAAAAGTTCCCCTCTAGGATTTTTCTTTTCCGTGCTACCAATATACACTCAAAGAACCCTTTCAAAATGATAAAACCACCTTTGAGATTGACCTTTATTTTGATGTCAAAAATGCATCTCTATAGTTTGCAACAGCTACATAAAGAACCTGTGAGACATCAGTGAGACATTTCTTCTATTAACAAAAGTTTCAATGATTTACAACTGCCAATTGATGCATATCACTAGCGGTCTATAAATACTTGCTCTTGTTGGTATTTACCTTTGCACCTTGTCCTACAGCCTTCCTATTGCGTGCTGCTTTTTGCTTTTCATTACATTTTTGAGACAGATTCTACCCACTTCCAAAAGGTCCAGGACAAGAGGATTTAAATCCTAGCTGAGACAGGCACTGCTGTAACGCATAAGCAGATGATAACGTCGATCCACAAGGTCAGACACCCAACATAATCAATGCAATTTGATGCCATTCTGATGTAGATTAATAGAATACTATCAACTTCAATGCATTTAAAGAAGTTTCACATAGCTTTAAAATCATCAAGCACATGTAGCTAAAAAAATCTGTGAATTTTTGGGAAGAGTATGCTCAAGCATGCTCAGCTAAAGAAAAATTCCTCTTATTACTTGTGCTCTTGCTACTTGGCTGCTGCAGCAGCATAGTATATATATCGCTTCCTTGAAGAAGTGCTCCTAGTGACTTCAGTGGATTTGCTTGCAAGGGAAAGGTGACAGGATTAGAACTACAGGCTGTAAATGGTCTAGTATCCTCTGGGATTAAGTTGTTTTATTATTATTGGCACATTGTGCTCAGACAGTAAAGACATTCACTTAAGGATACTAGTTTCTATTTCTAGCTCTACCACATCTATTTTTATTTGAACTTATTTAAAGACAACATTATCAACCCAGAAACAAAAGACAGGAAGGAGATCGAAGTCCGCAGTGCTTGAGGCTCTAGACAATGCCAGGAAATGGCTCGTATTTTGAAAGTTCCCCCAATTTTCCAACAGCTGATCTTTACTGAAGAATTAGACAAAGTCCAAAAAGCAAAACAAAAACATAAACAAAACTCTGTGAAGGGAAATCCTCTTGTATTCAGATACCAGCAGAGTGGAAAATTTTAGAGAGAATTCAAGTTTAAAATATTACATTAGAAAAATTTTTATCTGCATAAGCACAAACGAAACCGCGTGCATGACAGCAAAAAGACAAGTAACGACAACAAACGATTCAATGGTCTGTTTAAAGAAGTAATCCCATTGTCTGCCTCCAAGTAAAAATATAGACCCCAAAAAAACCTGTTTAGCGTGTATTACGGCGTGTAAAATAAAAGGATACTTTCAAAGCACCCAACGCAGTGACAGCTCTACATAGTACCTGAACATCTGAGGTATATAAAGCCTCAGATTCAGTACATTTCCAAGATCTTCAAAAGATCTGACAAACCAGACAAATAAAAGTCCTTCAGATTATATATGCCTACCTAAAAATCAATATATGAAAATAAAAACCCAGTTATATTAGAGAAAAGATAAGACCAGCAGTAGAGACTGTAGATTGCTTTTTTGTGCTTCTGAACAAGCATTCAGCCTGCTTGCATTAGGGCATTACTTAGCAAACTCAAACCCTATCCTTTGTATTGGGATGTCACTACTAACCAGACGAGACGACATTCTGAAGTTTTTACACGTACAAGGCTCTAGCTGAAGTCAAACACACTTTTGCCTCAGTAAAAACTGAGGAAGAATTTAAAACTTGGCCAAGGCTGAATACTATAACACAAAAGTTCAAGCAGAAGCCAACTGTTTGATTTTTTCCAAGCATTAGTTGGAAACACACCAATAAACAGGATGGAAGATACTCCTTTAAAGAGGGTATTATAAACAACAAATTAATTGTGCAATATGTTACTGTGCTTAAGGAGATGAACTGGACAGGAAAATAAAACCTAGAACAGGCAATTAATAACCATGCAGTTATATTAGAGAACACTAAAACCAAAAAGCGTCAAAGGAATATTAAATTTTTCCACCTCGAGTTATAAACTGAACAGTGACATGATCCACGGAGGAACTTCTCCCACAAAAAGTTACTGCATAGCTGTCCACAACTGACCTGTCAGGAGCCATATTTGCTCTAGAAGGGAGATCTTCCAGTCTTGGTATAGGCACAGCTGCCTTCCACATTAAAGAATCCTGTGAGAGGGATTTTGTAGCATCCTTCAAGTATGAACTAAAACACACAGTCTTCAATCCATAAGGAAATCTTACCTGAAACTGCCTGGCTAGAGGAAACTATTCAAACAGCAAGGCAATTCTCTAGTAATACTGCCAACAAAAATACCACAAAGCATCAAATACAATGGAGGAGTTTGTAAAGAGGTCCCCAGTGCACTGAAGACGGGGATAAACCATCGGATGCACCTCCTATCCAACACCAGACAGCATCAAGTAGCCCTGTTTCAGTCATTACAGATTTATCCTGGATTAAACCTAGCAAGCAAGGGGTGACATGGCTCCGTATCTTCCTCTTTCCCCCAAAACCTGTCAGGTACTCTTTATGACTTGTTTTCTTAACCTTTCTTTTGCAAAGCAAATGGAAAGCAAAGAAGTCATTGCTCTTTTTTGCTTATTTATTTACTTAAAGAGCATTTAAGCTCACTGCAAGCCATGACCAGACGTGCAGTTATCACCATTACGTGGCATGATGTGTCAGCTGATAATTTGGCACCCACTTAAGAGAAGGAATTCTGCTTATTTTTTGTTCCACTAGCTAGTCCAAAACCAAGAGCAAAGTTGCACAATTATTCCAGTCTAGTTGGAGAAGCAATAGACAGAACCAAGATTCACAGGAGAGGATATTAAAAAAAAAAAAAAATCAAACAAAAAACACAGCAGTTCTCTTTTCTGGCTATGTGGTTATATGTCAAAAAGCAAGAGTTCACCAGAGAAAAATATTGCTCTTTTCCTTTCTCAGGCAGGTTTCTTGCTCTTCCAAGTGGACTCCAGACTTCATGTATTTCCTTCACTCCCTCCCTTCCCCAGCCCTTGATGATAGTATTTGGCAGGAACTTTTAATTAAAAAAAAATCCAGACTGCCTTTGTACTACCCCAGCAAACCTCTCTTGGGAAATGATGTTCTTTGCTCAGCAATTCCTGTTCAGCACTGAGTGCCAACACAAGGAAAACAGCTGGAATGACTTCCTATTCTCCGTTCAGGCCTGGCGGCCTAGGAACAAATCTTTACAAAAAGAAATGGAGGCCCGAAAGCAACAAAGAATTATTGACAATAGCACACGATGACTTTTGCAAGACAGCTCATTTTCAGCTCGTTTTTTTAAATCAATACATTCAATCTCTCATGATAAAATGCATCTGATTAACAATCTGATCCAATTCCCACCAATGCTGTGGAAAAGCTTCATATCAAGTAGCAACCAGACCAGCACCTTCAATGAGGAAAGCTGACCTATTATAAAGACTGTGCAAGAACGGCCTGGGTAACGGGATTTAGCAGCACTTGCTACAATGGCCCGAGCCCTCTAGCACTAACAAATAGCAATAGGAATGCAAAGCAACAGACAAACATTCTACATTATCACCAGGTTGTTAAAGTGCTGAGACTCGAGTATAAGTTTTCCAGATCAGTCATGTGTCCTCATACACGTGATCCAGGCAGCAGTCCTGACATATGTCATGATTTTATCCTATTCAGTGTTTCCCCTGGAAAACCTCCTGATTGTTCCCTGAAAATTCTTGCCTTTCATTTACAAACAAATAAGATGCTGTTTTCCAACAACTGAACACGCTCCCTCAATAAATCTTTTGCCACCTAAGAAATTAAGATAATGCAAACATTATTAATTTTTAAATGTTGATGTCACCCGTATTTCAGGGGGTAAGGGAAGGCCTGACAGATGGGATTGACAGTTACATGGGTATAATCCCAACGGTTGTTATTCAGACACATAAGAATATTGTCCAGTTAATCCAAACACCAAGAGGTTTACTTTAAATCCCTTCCTACTCTGGAGAAGAGCCATACTGGCCCTGCAATTATTACCACCCAAATTTTAGCCCGTCTCCCCAGTCTCTTCTAGATTATGGTAATATACTTTTTTTTTTTTTTTCCTGAGAACCACAATTTCCATTTATACAGCAGGTTAGTCTAACACAAATTGGCTCGCACGACTCTCAAAAAATCCTTCTTTCCGTAAAGGACAGGGAAAACATGCAAGAACCCAGTTAGCAACATCTGTGTTTAAACACATTTGTGCCATACATATTGATATGTTGTTTTCATCCCAGTGTAGAGAAAGCCAATATTTCATGCACAGATTACAACCCGGATGTACTGCTATTCTAAATCAGACTGCTCCTCAGGCTTTAATTTGAAAATCCATATATTACTTGTTAACTTCCTTACATTTAAATCTCAAAATGCAAAGCATCTGAGATCATAGCTGAGTTCTGGAAGAAACCCAACAGTTAAATCTCTGGGGAAGTCGAGCAAGGCTGATAATTGGGTTCAGACAAAGATGTATACTTGTTCTTTTACTACACTGATACTGGATAAAACGCCAGCCTTCCATTTTCCCATTTTTTCCAGCTTTGACCCTTTCTTCCTTTTAAGGAAAGGTGAGCTTTTTAATTGCCTCTCATCACTAATCACATCTAGATAATACTAACTAACCCCGTTTTACAATAGCATAGGCAACTAATGGTTTGGCGAGGGGGGCAGAGTAGAGAGATAGCAAGTGCTATACCTCTAAGGCAATCAGCTTGTATTTTGAAGGCTTGTCCTTTTCCCGAGGCTGTTATCATCACAACACTCCCACCTCTTGCATCTGAATGACAGGATGGGTCCATTTCCTTCACTCCCCACCTCCTTTTCTTAAATTATGCACAGATTTCCCTCACTGTAACCTGTTGCCAGCTCTCAGCCCACTCAGTAAGCAAATGGCAAATTCCTCCAGTTCAGCCCTCAGATAGGGGATGAGGACAGCAGTTCCTCCAACAGTATTTAGAAGAGGAGAATGGAAACAAATATTCCATTCAGTAGTAAAGTAACATTCAATTGATTGTGTAAAATGTTCATTAACACAAAACATTAAAACAAATTGCACACATACAACGTATGGGACATATAACTTGCCTATTCCTGCTTTTTTAATGAGAAAGTTCAAGAAAAAAAGCCACAACATAATATTGCGTTCCAATGATGTGTCGTTTCAGGATCAAAATACACTGCTATCCATCTCTCATAACAGCCACACGGCAACAGATCTTTTACCTTCGCTAACAGGTCTGTCCTCCATAAGCTTTGTTAGTCTCCACTGCTTGTACAAGAATGAAGTACACCACCTAGATCAAATGCAGATATTAAACAGGTAGGTTAACAAAGAGAATCCTTGGCAAAACTTAATTGGTCTCTCTGGGAGACAGTCACCAGGGTGGGACTATGGAATCCCTCTTCACAACTATAACATGATTATTGTGCTTGTGAGAATGTTTCTTATCTAGGTCACTGCTTTACCTTTTCTGCTCAATTATTTGAAGAATCCCTTTACAGCCTCCTTTGATCTAGGTATTCAGGTCAGCAACAATACAGCGCAGAGTCGGGTAAATGGCACATTAAACAATATTAATCGAAGACCATAGAGGAATTTTTCCAGTTTATCACACCTCCATTGCAAAGAAGGGTACCATTAAAATGGGGAGAGCATCTACAGAGCAGTAGCTCAAGAAGGGCCCCAAGGTGTGCAGATATCAGCTGAGATGTAGCAATCAGTGTTTGTTGCCACAGATAATTTACTCAAATACCTTAAGTTTACTGAACAAGGACAAGGTGCGTCAACTACAGACTGATTTTTCCTTAGACCTGAAGCTACAGAGGTACTACGTACATGCTGAAGAAGAAACTCTAAGTCCAGAATACCTTAGCAGGTTTGTAAGTTAATAGGGAGACATAAAACACATAACTGCAGCGGCTAGAACCTGATGAGATGGTGGGAAGATCAACCTTCCTCTGAGTGCTCAGCTGGCTAACCCTGTAAAACAGCACTGAAGGAATTAGATCAGTTTACTTGCTTTCTTTTTAGCCTGATTTGCCTTGTGTTCCTGCAATCACATTGCCTGCCATGCTCCCCCTTAACCAGTGGATTCAAGGCAGATTTAACAGAAATTTAAACTGCTATACAGTTCATGGAAATCTGCAGCCGGAAAGAAGAGAAAGACCCCTTTAGCATCCCATTGATATAAAATGCCCCAAACCTTGTGAAACACTTCATTCTGAGCACACATCTTTTTCGAATCCAAAATCAATCACTCACAGAATGCAAATTAGTAAACAAAAACAGGCTTCATTAGTACTGGTGTCCATGATTGAGAGTGTGTAAAAATGCATACTAGGGTGTAATCTACGGACCTCAGTCAGCCTCATAGTTGGAGTTTTGGAAGAGACCCAAAGCAATCTGGAGACTTGGATTATCCTGAAACCCCATAATCCAGAGCTGAAACAAACTGGTTTTGTGAGCGAAAGAAGAATGAAGCCTAGCTTCCTATCAATGCGCGTCCCAAGCCCTCGTATCCCTTCCTCTACATAACCAAACTGCCTTACATATACCTTAATGCTGCCCTCCTTCCCACGTAGCCCAGGCAAAAGACAACATATGTTGTGGCCGGTCCCTGCCACTGGCATTTACTGTGCAACCAGAGTGTCCATTCCAACTAGCCTGCTGGAGGAAAGCAGAGGAGAAAACTTTTGGAGCTCCAACTGGAAGTCTTCCTCACTGTGGGGGCACCGAAGTAATTCTCTTCTCCATCCAAATGCTGATTTTTATGATACTTCTTAGGTGTGAAAGGGATTTTATACAGTACTTACCAAAATAAACAAAGGCAATATAGAGCTGATTCTGAAGACAACCAAAAGCTGAAATACAGACCTTTGGAAAGGTTTTACAGAACTGAAGAACAGGCTTCCCTGAAAGAACTGAGCTGCAGACTTTGGGATGGGAGGATGTGTAGTCATTTACAACCCCCATATTAACACACACTCCGCTGGTGATTTCCATTTATACTCATAGAGTGGACTGCAAGTTTAGATAACTCAGAAGTGGATTCATACCCTGTTCACTCATTTTTACTACAGGGGCAGTACGTTTCAACAGAAGAGAATGCAAGACAGCTAAGCATTGGGCATCTCAGACAAATTTACTTGCCACCCTAAGTAGAAATTTTGACTTTTAACTTGGGTTTTAATACAAGGGGCATTACATATCCCTTGACTGATTTATATGAAGAGAAGAACAGTAAGAAGAAACATGGTAGCAGGCAGATAACATGGAAGCTGTGCAATGACTGAGAGGAAATCGTTAGAGGGTGGGAAAAGTGTTACCTGTAAAAAAGGCTGGAAACCAAAGGAAAAACACTCCCCTGCAGTTTGAATCCTCTTGTAGAGGAAGTTGTTTCTTTGAAGGCACATTTTATAAACCAGCAGAACTGAGTTTAGAAAACTGTCTGGCTCCAATGAATATTTCTTCCTAATAAGAAAAATGTTTAAGAACCCAAGGTAAAGGCGAACTGGTTAGGTCAAAGGGGAACACTACAATACGAAGGTAATTAATACAATCAATTACTGAAGACTGGGAGCCAGGGCTTTGGCACTACCTTGCATAATTCTGGGAAACTTGAATGATTTCACGAAGTTTCCTGGGTTTACCTACATTTAAAACATAGATAACACTTAGAACAGGTCCACAATTTTTCAGATGCAAAGCTTGTAATCAGAAAATTAGTCATCTGTTGAGCCCACTGCAGTTCATTAGAAATACCTTGGGTTCAAAACATCTTTCATTAAAACTGAGAAACAACTTCCAGCAGAATTCTTCCTAGACTCTGCCACGTTTGCCCCCAGCCAGAGGCTCACCACTACTGCTGGGGGCTCTGCAAGCTGTAAATCGCTGGAATACATTTGTGTTAACAGAATGAACAAGAACGTGAATGGCAGTTTCAAAAACGAAAACAAAATGCCTGCAGGATGCAGAGGACTTTTCATTCGCATGAAGTCAAACGCAAAACACAAGTTTGTTGGAACTAAAATCAATTTTTGAAGAAAAACTAAATCCTTCTGATTTGTAAACATCTCTTTGTTACCTCATGCAGGAAAGTAGGAAACTTCAGTTACTTCACAGCAGAGTATGGTCCTTCATGCACCATCTCTTCCTCCTTCCAAATCAGACAAAATAAATATGTTATCCCAAAGATCCTATTTTCTACAAACGGTAACTGTTCAAGCGGTGGCCATCTCCCCACAAAGGAAGGAATCTCTTTGGGCTTCCCATTCTTGCCCGCCAAGACTGGAAAATATTCTCGTTTCTCACACATATTATGATGGAATACGTAAAGCAAGTTCTCATCCTCTGAGTCAGACACTTTACAAATAAATACAGCTACACTCTCCCTCTCCCAAAGAGTTTAGTTCCACTTCTGCAGAGTACTTTGAAGTCACTGGATTGAAGGTTCTGCAGAGATATTCAACTATATTATAAAAAGCAACTAAAACAGCAGATTTTCTTCCATGTAAAGGAATCACGCTTTATAAAGAATAACATTATTGCTATCACAACAAAACCACATGTTGGGTGGCAATCTAGCTTTTTTTGCGACTCAGGATATGACACGTGATCCAAAAGAAGACAGCTGCATGCTTCCCAGGCTGAGTTCTATTTGTTTTCTATTCACATTTTGAAAATAAGCTTTATTGTCATGTATTTTTAGTTTCATCAGACATTTTGTTTAACAAGGTCAGTTTAATTTGCGTTATGTCTTTGCAGTTTTTAAAAAAAAAAAAAAAAAGAGAGAGAGAGAGAGATATTCAGAGTGCTTAATCCCCTGTTAAATTCAGATGAGGACAGGAGAAAATCACCCTAGGAATGCAGAATGGGGAAGAGGAAATTACTACCTGTTCAGTGTTACAAAGCATATGAGTAAAAAAAATGCCTTTCTCAAAAAACTTAAGAGATGGATTGGAAAACAGAAGAAGAAAACAAAATGCTTTAATGGATCTAATCTGTATTCTAGGTACTAGTAGAAACTATGATCACAGACACTGAAACAATGAGTTACGGTACTACGGAGCAAAAAAGAAACCTGTGTCCTGTGCACAGCAAGTGATATAATAAATTGTGCAGGCTGGGAAACTCAGAGGCAGCAAAATATTTCATCTGGTGCATTCCAGAGTGGTACCAAAATGGAGACACTGCACTGTATAACTTCAGTTATCAAGTATTTGCATATTAAAAAAATTGGGAGATAAGAAGGGTCAATTAGATAGCAGCCATAGCTGTCAAATTTTCACCCTTAACCTCAAAAAATACATATATTCAAGGACCAATACACCAACATCCAAACACACAAAAGCCATTCTGCATTGCCTTTGAAACTGCTATTATAAACCACCCAAGGTATTCTCTTAAGAGCTGATGAGAAATCCAGACACAGTCCTGCTAAAGCATTTGAAATCCTACAGACAAAGAGAATTCCAGTTCTTTAAGCATTTCCTATGTCACAGTAAGATTCTTCTCCCACTCTGGGATGTAAAAGCTTGAGTTCCTTTGTAAAAGGCACGACAACACCAGATGTACATCTTTCTCAACCAAATCTGCTTTAATTTTTCTTTTAGAAGAATATGGTTTCACACTACATCCTTCATACTGAAGCGCATCAAAGGATTGTACGAAACAATGAATTACCTTCAATTATATTCTGACTTTGTAGGCAAACCATTTGCGCACAAAGGACCCTCTGTTAACTCCAGCATAGTTTGGGACATTACAACTTGTTTTTCTAATGTTCAGCACTTTTGTTACATTCTTCATCAGGTCTCATCACATTTTGCAGACTTTTACTGAATTAAACATCCCACAATTCTCTAAGAAGCAAGGATGAAATGTTACAAGGTTGAATGTGATCGCAGAGCAGGAATTGAAACACTAGCAATTATAATCCTAGGAGAGTTTCAGTGGAAGAGCCAGGAATAAATCCTAGAAATGTTGACTCGCAGTTCTTTGCTCTAGCCAGTAGAAAAACAGAAAAAAACAAAGCACACCAATACAGATAAACTGTATGAAGAAACATACTCGTTAAATGCAAATACACAAAGAAACATATATAGAATAGAAAAAAAATTTGCCTTTTTTTTTTTCTTTTTAACTTGTACGGTCGGACTCCGTTCAAAGCCAAAGCTGCAGCAAGCAGGACAACTAAGCTTTAGACAAGAATTAGACATTGATATAAATAAGAATCACATCTGCAGTACATTGATTAGATCAAAAATCAGATGGGCTATCAAAGCCTCAGCTTCTGGGCAGGACCTGCCCACCTGACGGAACAGGGCTGTATAATTCAGTTAATTTTGGCGGAGTCTGGGATTCTCCAAAGCATCTGACAATGGTCTTTTTTGCAGATGTGATGCTCATCTAGACAGAGTTCTTTGATCTTCTGTGGCATACCTGTTCCTAAAGGGCCACATCTGGGGGATGCAGGAAGGCCACCAGTAAGTTTTACCTCTGGCTCACGTTATAGCACTTCTGGCCTGTAACGGTAACAGCTGGCACACACAAGCACAAGCGGCACTGGAAGAAACTGCTGTCTGAGGAGGTTAGTTTGGCTGCTGACACAAAGCTGGAAGTCAGAAAAATCTGGATTCCCATCCCGGCTTATTCAATAACTCACCTGACTGAAAAATAATTAAATCTATCTGTACCTCAGTCTCTCCCTCTGTACAACAAACATAAAGGGCTCGGTTTCTCAGTTACACTAAATACTACTGGTATTTCGTGACTACTGCTTCATAGTCATAGCTGGCTCAGAGTAACGCGCGGTCTAATTCATCAGTATTTATAAAAGCATTTTAGAAGTCATGAAACAGAAGTCATATAGCAGAATAGGGCACTGACAAAGAATCTTTACTCACGTTCAGAATAAAGATAGGCAAAAACAACAAGATATTCCTCATCCACAACTTTGCCCATCTAAAATACTAGCAGGCACTAAACTTCCTGGTGCGTCTGAAATATTTGGGCAGAAATATCAAAATAGAGGCGTTAAGGTATTTTCAACATAACCAGAAAGGACCAGACTGCAGACCCATGAGGTTTAATTTGATTAGATAACTTCACTGCTTATCTGATCTGCATCCACAATCTGAACCTTTTGAGGTTCGCCCACCAACGCTAAACATGACACCAAACTGAGAACGCAGGAAATCACGACAGATTTAGTCAAGAAATCACACAGGCAACAAAACGAGGTCATGCAATTCTTGCAGTTTAACACTGGCAAAAAGGAGAAGCGGGTACAAGAAGGAGAGAAAGGAAGTCTATTATTCCATAAATGCAAGTTATTGCACAGCCATTGATGTTGCCACATTTCTGTTTGTGTTCATCTACTTTACTCTTCTACCTTCCCCCCCCCCACAAGCTAATCAACAGTGTAAATAACACGAAACCCAACCTTCTCATTGTCTTAATATCATCCGTTATACCAGGAAATGCCTAGTTCTCTCCTAAATGATTCTGATAAAAAACAACTTAAGCTGCACAATGCACACACATCTAGAAACAGGATATCGAGTTTATTTTTTGTTGGAATTTTTACTGGACCTTCAAATGACTAACAGAATTTAGGTAGTTTATGTGAGTTTTAATTAGCCCAAATAGGAGACTCCAGTGTTATATACAAAAACAGCTTCCACTATTCCATCTGTGGACATGTAGAGCTGCCCTACACATATCAAAGGAGACTGAGTCAGTTCACATCATCCATACTGACGGCAACACTTTATCCAACCATGACATGAAAGAAGAAAAAAAGCTAGCTTTGTCCTCATCAAAAAGAAAATAGCAGTGCCCTGAAATCACATGTCTTCTGGGCAGCTACCCAAGCACACTTTGTTTTCATTGACTAAAATAATGCTTAACAATAGATATCGAAAGCAGATTTTCCTACGCTTTAAAAGGTCTCATTCTATCACAGACCAGCACATCTTGAATTGTGTTATTTAGCCTTGCAGAGTGAAAGAACACAGGTCATCTAAATAGAGAAAAATTAATCACTCTTTCTTCAGTCTTTTCTTCTTCCATTGTTGTAGTGAATAGATTAGATAGATGGAACTGGCCTGAAACAACATGCTGTACCACACCAAACCATCTGCAAGTGTCTGCTGCATAGGCCTATTCATTGGTTCTCTGATGACCACTCTTGAAAATAACAGCAAAAGTCACAGGGGCAGCAGTGGCTGATTGGGATGCCCACGCTCAAACCCCATGGTTAAAACGCCCCTGGGCATCTCTCCGGGTATTCCCAAAGAACACCTACTTCTGGCCTCTTTTTTCTTGATGAAATACAGCCAGCATTTATCACTGTCTCAGTGCCTATTTGTTCTGAATCGCTAGGGAGCTGGTTTGGAAGGGGTAGCTGCTAGGTGTAATCATCTTTCATGGCATTAGCTCATTTTGATTTGCCTGACTTATACCATTAACAGAGGAGAGTCGGATCTCAGACTGGTTTTATGCCAGTGCAACTCTACTTATTTCAAAAGAGGAGGTCCTAATTTAGACAAGTGGAAGCAAAAACATAAATGGATTGAATATGGGTGCAATTTATAAACATACCCAGAGAGCCTGCTTAATAGCTTATATAAAACTACATAGGAACCTTTCTGCCTGTCTTATGACACTACGCAAGTAGCTGGTAAGACTTTCTCTGGCCTTATGTTTCTGAAAATTGGCCTAGCTCTACTGATTTTCGCTGAAGCATATCTGTACACATGTTAATCACTTGACCCTAAATCTCAAATTATTTTCTGAACTTTTTTTTTTCCTAAGAATGAAATATGGCTCATTAAGTCTTTGAGTCCAAGGACCATCTTCATTTTAAAGAGAAAAAGGAAATGAAGTGGCACAGTACTAGTAGTCACATCACACAGTAGCTGTTTTCAGTCACATTTTTGTTAGTTTTTTTTCCTTTCTTGTTCCATGGGAATGGCAGCCAGCTTTGCAGATTTGCTTCATTTTTCACTCCTGTCAAAAAGAGAGTAAAAGGAATCTACATGAGAACTATCATTCTACCTTAAAGAAAGACTATG